GTTTGGGTCCCAACCTCTACTTCTATATGGTTACCTCTCATCAATTTAAAAACTGACTATGCTGGAACTGTTCACTTTGCCTAGATGATGGAGTTTGTGTGTCTAGACACTGGGGAACACACTGGCTATCCCAAGTATTATCACACTATCATTAACATCTGAGGAAAAGAATTAATGTTCCATAGTTTTCCACATTAGCTTTGTTCTTTCAGAGCTAGTTTCCACAGCAGAGCTGGACTTGACAGAGTGTGGATACACCTCAAGGTCTGTTATATTTACCCCAGGGCAGATGAGATGGTGCAGTTCCTAAACACCCCCAAGGCCCAGGCTTCAGACCACCAACAAGGCTCCACCGTGAGCACAATTCTACTTCTCCTTTCAGTCAACAGGCAACAGGTTTGGGCTTATAAGCCTGAGGCAAATTTTACTCCCACAGTGCTAAGTACAATCAATGCTACTGAAGTCAGTGAAAGCAGTCAACATTAAATAGCAAATTTTTATCTGAGAGAAAACGTTGCACTCCTTTGAGACGTTGTCCTTGCTATGTCTGTAATTCTGCAAATCGGTGTTTAGCAAAAGGGAGACGTCTTGATCTGAAAATGGTGTCCCTCCAAGCACTGAATCCAACAGGTATTCTTGAGTTCCACCTGTGGTATAAACTCAAAAACCAGAAGACAGTCCATGACACTGTCTCTGACCCTGACTGCACAAACAAGAACAGCATGGTTGCTCTAATTGCATGTGTGATGATTCTGCTGGCGTTCTCACACCGTATTTTTATTGCTTCTAAATTTACTGCCAACAGGTCAGGTGCCTTGTTTGCTAAACCTATGTCTTAAGTGTTCATTTCAGTTCTCTGTTTGTGAGCTTCTGTATTAGGAAAGCTCTGCAGCCACCCACATTTGCCAATGACAAGTCCACTCTTGTCACAACCTTCTACTGAGACACTTATTAATAATACCACAAATTATCAGTTCAATTAGCATCACTATTCGTTGGGCATGACTTAGCATTTCTTCACAGAATTGTCATATGACAGTCAATGGTCTCAGCTTTGTTTTCACAAATGTGACTGGAGTATCCACAAAGAACTAGCTACTGTCTGTCCATTTACACTGTTACAAAAATCCCACTTCTGAAAAGAAATACATACTCAAATGTACCATGTTTTGATCTCTGCTTTCTTGGGAGAGGGGGCAAGAAAGGGGGTGGCATGGCTTAATCAGAAATCAACTATGCTCCAATTATGAGCACCAAACAAAGAGGCAGTAAGATCTCTTGTTAAGAAACTAACAACTGATTCTTTATCACAGATCTATTATTATTTAGGAGGCCAGTCTTACACCTACGGAGCGTTTAAGAACAGGATAACAGCTGCAACAGGTCCAGGGAATGCATCGATAACAATCTCCAACATGCAGCCCTCAGACACCGGTTCCTACACCTGCGAAGTTTTCAGCCCACAGGGTGACAGTGGCCAGAGTCAGAAATCTGTGATAGTCAGCGTGCTGGGTGAGCACCTTTCCCCCCCATTGCTGTATTCTGCTTTCCTCCCTTTCTTACAAAACACGGAATTCACGGCTCAAAATGCGTGGGAGGAGGGGGACTAAGGGGACTGTGAGAAGCAAGGCCCACGATGCAGAGGCAGGGCTCCTGCTGACGGTGCAGAGGCTCTGCCCAGGGCTCCGCAGGCAGGCACAGCCTGCCCTGCCCTCTAGCTTCCACACACAGCAGGCCTGGGGCCACTCCACAGCCACCCTCCTTCACCCAGGAGCCGCCCCCAGATTCACTCGGGGGGCTCAGAAAGCTACCTCACATCAGCAGGGAAGTGGGGAGCTGGAATTGCCCAACTTCACTGCATTTTTCATGTTGGAAAACAAAGTGATAGGCACTTTGATTAAAATAAAAAGCCCTTTTAGCTGGGAGTGACAACTTCTCTCTGAAGCTACTAGTTTTAGATAATCCAGCCCAACCAAAGACCAAAATTTTACTAATTTTACTTAATGTTGGTCATGGTTGCTTGTGTAAATCCAGGGAGAGGCAGCAGTACAGCCTAAGGGTTCTGGCTCACCCTTGTCACTTGTCATCCAGAAACCTGGTATGTCTTGTATGAAAGTTCTACAAAGTCTGTTTTGGATGGAAGAAATAGCAATAAAAAAAAAAAAAAAAGCAATAGCTCAGCCACCAACCAGCAGGATAGAAAGGATGAAAAGCAGTGGAATGAGATATTTTACTTCCTAATAAGATAAAAGTTTGTACTAAATCCATCTAATCATTGCTTTTATATTGAGAATTTATACCCGGTCAGAGTGACAAATCAAAGCCATAAGACAATGTGATACCAACATCATTTGCCTTTCTGCCAGGGATAAAAAAAAGCCTTATGTAAACTCAATTCCTGAAAAATCAAAGTGCTACCATTAAATCTCATCTAAAATTCCCCAAACAAATAATAAATCTCGGAGCAGATGAGTAAGAGATTGTATTATTCACATGAAGAACAAGAAAGGTTGTTCATTTATGCACAAAAAAAATTGGGCTGCGTTCATTGCTGGTGTAATTCCACTGATGGTACTCTAAAGAACCACAAGTGGATGTCTACAGGCAGGAAAATATGCATATGAAAAATAATAGGTGTGGAAAATAATAGGTGTAAGTGAAGACAGAACCTTCTCCTCTGTGCAAAATGAAGAAATGCTGTCAAAACAGATGTACTTTTTAAGAGAACTCTAGTTAATTTATTTCCTCCACAACTGCAGTATACTAAATAATCAGGCCCTGATCCTGTCCCTTTATGTGGAAAAGCTCCTGCTGTGTCCCTGAAGAAAATGATGCTGGTACGCGGCAGTCTTCATCTCATCACCTCCATAATAATATTTAGTATGCAAATGGAAGAAAAGATAATAAAAAATGTATCCTAGGCCACGTACATATATTCAATATTACTCAGATCTTCAGGGCAGTCTCTGGTGAGATCCATACTCAAGCCTTGCTCTTGGATGCCAGTCTGTAGGTGGGGTTCAATGCTTTTGCAGCCCTGGGGTACGTGCTCCCAACATGTCTGTTCTCCCCATTACTCTTTCACAGTCAAACCATCGAAACCTTTCTGCAAAATAGAAGGCACGCCCGAGAAAGGCCATCTGATCTACCTCCTCTGCAACTGTGAAGAGGGACTGCCTCGCCCTTCCTACCGCTGGTACAAAGCCCAGGAGAACAGCCTCAAGCCTGTGACTGAACCATTCAGTACGTAACTGCAGCGCTCTCCGGCCCTGGACGGATCTGGAGCTGGCTCATAGGGCAGCTAAAACCTACCCTCCTCTTCTGACAGTCTGTGTCACAAAATCATATTTGACTTATTCAAATTGCCTGAGAGCTGTCACAAAACCAGAATGCTTTTTGTTTTAATAGAAACTATGTGGCATGTCCAAGTCTGGTCTATGCCGTTACTTTGAAAGGGAGAAAAGTTTATGCCTTTACATCTCCCTTCCCTCGGAATTTTGAGTGAACTTAGAATAAGTTAAGTCTGTTTGTCATTCAGGTGCTAGGAATTCCACCCCCAAAATCTTCAGTACTTGTTACATTTTCATTTGTCAAGTCACACTGACAATAGCATCAGTGTGGGTAAAACATCAGGCAGATTGATTTGCAGAGCAGGGGACCACTTCTCATATTTGAAAAGGAAGGGAAATATATTTTTATTTAAAGAATATATAAAAAACCCAAATGAATTCATAATCTTAGACCTCTGTTTCTAATTTCTTAACAGCTCTCAGTATTACCAACTGAAGAGCACTGTTTGCCCCTGCAGTATAGGAAGGGTAACCTGTACCTACTCTCTGCTTGTCACAGATCCAAGCACTGGCATGCTTTACATTGGCAACCTCACCAACTTTGAAACTGGGTATTACCGGTGCGTAGCCAGCAACTTCCTGGGGAACAGCACCTGTGAGCTCGACCTGACTGCAAAGCGTGAGTTCAACGTGGGAAGACAATCCCATATTTGATGTATGACATGCACAGTTTGCAGGAAAATGCTGTAACAACTTAAAAGCATAGGGTTTTTTTTTTGAAGTAAGAAGAATGGGCCTTGGAGAGCTCCGGAGTTTTCAACCAGGCATGCCCAGAATTCACACCGACCTAGACAACTGATTTAACATCTCCATTTCCCACTGGAAGCAGGAGCAGAACCTGGCTCTGACTGCAGAGCCTTTACTGAGAACTGACAGGCATGGAGTTTAGAGCAGTTCCTTCCAGCCAACAGTCCTGCTGAGGTCCCCCTGCCCCAGAATTTATAACCATCACTGAAATCTGGTAGTACAAAGACTGGGGGCTAAAGATACTGCAGTCATAGACTTACCCTGACTTCCCTCAAGCAGCCATCAACCTGATCCTGACTGTTCTCAAGCAGTGGGCAACATCTGCATGCAGTTTTTTCATGTAACCACTAACATTTAACAAAAGCAAGCATATGTTGTACAAGCACCCGTGAGAGATATCCCTGAAATGGTCACTCCATTACTCAGAGGTCTAGAAAATTATAATTGCAGGTCAGAGCCAGAAGCTGTACTAGCTGAAATGGAAAGAGATTTGGGGGGCTCACAACTGATCAGAGCATGTATTTTACATCTCAGCTGAAAGACAGGGATAAAGGCAACCTGAATTTCAGCATTTGCTGGCAAGGACTGAAGAGCAAAGGCTTTCAACTACTGCCTGTGTTAACAGCCTTGTGTTTCTCTTAGCCAGGCACAAACAGAGGGTTTGTTTGGGTAAGGATCTAACCAAAAAGAAAGGAGGCAGCAAAGACCATAAAAGCACAGTTCGCTCTTTGCTGGAAAACCTTTGCCCTCCCCCCTGGAAATGCAGCTGTCAGTCAGCTTTTTACCTCTTTGAATCCAATGCCTTCTTTCTGCTCAAGGCTCCTCCACTCAGTTTCCACGGGATTTTGCCATAATACTACTTTTTAAAAGGTCAAGTGAACTTTTTTTCTTTCCAGATTCAGACAGTGGGATTATTGCTGGAGCATTAATTGGAGCAGTCCTGGTAGCTGCTATCATCTGTGTCATCGTCTGGGTCTTGACCAAGAAGGCAAAGAATAAGAAGTCATCGAGTAATGAGATGCAGTAAGAGTTTCTGTTTGCTTCCCTTTCTGTAAAGCACTGCTGATAATCCAGAACTAAAGTAAAATGGAATTACTCTAAATATTTTTTGAAGGGTAAATAATACAGGTTTTGAGAAAACTTCCAGAGTGAGAATATTTGCTTTTGTGTGACTTTTAAGCCATTGCTCTTGGAACAGAAGTTGCCTCTTCCCTGTGTTTACAGGCAGCTACCACTTAGTGGTATCTAAAATAGTAAAGTAACTGGTTTTTAAACAACACAAATTAAAAGTCACAAGCTGGAAAAACAGTTTTTAATATTAAAAAGTTAACAGGGACTCTTAATGGCAGGTGGGAGAAATGAAAAAAAGGAACAGCAGCAAAGAATAAGCAGCAAATTGACTGGGATTGCATGTTACTGGATTTAAGCAGAGAGGGCTCGCTCAGCTCAGTGCTATTTGAGATTGCAGGACACACACTTGGGATAATCTAAGGCATCCCAAATGGCAGAAGACAAAGTTTAGGCAACAGAATGGAGCCCAGAATGTCCACTTTGACCCTTTTCTGGAAATGTCTTTTCCTCTGTGCTTTGGTTGCTCATTTTTTCTTTAAACGGCCAAATCCTCAGAATAAGGATAATCTCATATCTTGTACAGATAGGATTTAGCCAGAAAAGATATTATGTCATCTTCCCTGTAGCTCAGGCCTAAGACTTCCCGAGGTGGAGTTCTCTTCACCCAGACCAGCAGCCAGTCACTCATGCACACAGCTTCTGCTTTCAACTGATGTAGCATTAACACCTAATTTTGTGCTCGCATCCTAATAAATCTTACTACACTGAATTAATCCACTAGCATGTGATATTTTTTTACAGGTGAAAGTGCTTAAATATCAGGAGTTGATTTGTTATTGTTTTGATAAGACAGCTGGAACTCATACCTGTTGCTAAAAATATTTTTCTAGATTTCAGCCTTTTCATGGCTCTTTTCTGCCTGCACTCTGTTTTTATGCACTCAAATGGGACACCAGCTCTGCATGGAACTTCCCAGAAAGCTCACACCAAGCCCTGTGGTTTGCTGCCTCTTCTCAGACACTGTTTGCCAGCACTGTTTCCCTTTTTGCTTTCTTGGCCTGGCATTTCAATATACCAAAATACATTTTCTTCTAGCAGGGTTGCCTAAACCAGTGATGCAGATCAGTCTCACTCTCCCACATGCTGTCACTCTTTCTGTTTTAGCAGCAGTGATGTTGTAGCTTTTCCATGTGCTCTCAGAACAGTCATAATAATGTGGGGGTTACTGTTTAGACAATGCAACTACAAAGACTCACTCTTTCAAAAGGCTCTTGTGTAGATGGGGTTTCAACATGTGACATCACAATCCTCCCCATCTTCCCACAGAGAAATGGCTCAGAAACAATCCAATGCAGAGTATGTTCAGGTACCTAATGAGGAAAACCTTCCTGCGACCACAGTTCCATCCAGCAATGCAACAAATGAATACCCCAGTGCTGATGAAACAGCAGCTGCTGGAACACCTGAAAATGATGAGAAGCAAGAAGTACAAAAAGAAGAAATAGCCTAAAGTTGTGATACAGTTTTCCTTGTCTTCTTTGGACCCTTTAGACAAAAATTGTTGTCATTGAGTTAATATAGAAGCACGACTGAAACTTATATGGGCATTTGTATTGTGAACCACTGGGCTGGAGATTGAAAAGGGTCTGTTACACATGCACTTGGGGAACAGCAGAAGATTTGGTCTTTAAATTAACCAAATTTCATGTATTGTCTCATTATAATTGTACATAACCACAAAAAGACTAACACCCACATTTAGCCAGCCTATTCTGCAAAACTGATTAGGAAATGGGCTGAAGCAACTGGCAAAATAAGAGCTTTCCAGTCAACTGTCAGTAAGGCTGTATGTACCTACACAGTCCTGCATCTTCCCCAGAAACAGTGCTGACCAACCTCAGGTTTCCTGTGCACCAACAACAATCACAATGGCCAAAACTTTGTGGTGTTTAAAGGATCTGCTTTTGCACATCAGAAGTAAAAAGAAGTTTCATCAATGTCATCAGAGTGTTAGCACCTGGACCCATGAAATCTTGAGTGTCTGAATTCTACTTAAAGCTAAAAAAATAGATCCTGGGAAATTTTACCCTGTTGCTGCTTACGTGGAGTATGTTTTTTTAACTGTGACCTTCCTGGCTTTGAAGTTCCCAAGGCACTGGCATTCCAGAGTTGGGTGTTTTAGCAGTTCTGCTTTTCAGCTTAACGGAACTCACATTCAGGCACCCAGTTGAGACTGATCAATTGACTTTTCCAGACCACAGGAGCTGGAAATCTAAGTCCCTTGCAAGGCTTGTCATAACAGATGCACAGAGTATCAGATTCCTCAGGACACACAGATACAGCTGCTTTCAAAATAGTACTGCCTACTACGTAACAGACTAGCTTAGACTGCTTCCTCTGCCTGGGGTGATCTAAACCTATGTCCAGGCTACTGCTTTACCCACTAAGCAACAAACTCCTGCTACCTTTCTGCTGGTCTCTTCAGCCCAGTGTACCTCTATTTTCTATAGGTGTAAGCATCCAGAGGAAAGGTAAGTAGTGCATGCCCACCAACAGCCAACTGCTGAGCAACAAGCACACTTTTGGAAGGAGAAAAGGGAGTTGAGCCTAATCTCTAATCACCTCTCCTCTCTAGGCCTCACTTCTAAGGTTAAGCAAACTCAGCTCTTCAAAAGGCCAAAGATACCAATGTTCCAAAGAGCTCAAGGAACATGGGGCTCATGTGAATGCAGACACATAGATTCAGCAGCTCCCTTCTCAGCTACCTGAGGCAGACACTCACTGACACAAGGAGACACTGGTTTCAGTCTCATGCACTGCAGAAGAACGTATCTGGCTCAGGGATTTGGACTTCTTGGCACTTAAGACTTTGGTTCATAATGTTTTGATCTAATGTTCATAAATCCTTTGGCAACTGCTGCTAGCCTGTAAACATCAGTCATGTGCAACAGTCATCTTTAAAATACATGAAAGGATACATCTGTGCTAAAATTTTCAGGTTCAGTTTCTACAGTTCAAAGTGTGTTTATCAAGACAGTGACCACAAAAAAAAAAAAGAAAAAGGAAAAAAAAAATAAAAGACACAAAGATGGCAATATCTGAAGAAGATACAAGGCATGGGGTCCTAATTAAGATACCATTTGGATCATTAAGCATAACTGTATTCATTGCCCTTCCTACAGTTTTCTGATTTGTCTTTGATACGTGTGTTCTAGTGTTTAGCTTCACTGTAGAGTAAAAGAGCATTTACAGAGTTCTTATAATATTGTTTTAGCTAAAAACCACTTGTGCTGGACTGTGAGGCCCAACCCCTCACCAATACCAACACTGCCACATCCTACCAGTGGATCCTCACGCCCCTTTCTCTCCAGAACACCCAAGGTAAACCTCAAATCATGACCTCTATGTGAGACTTCTTAATCAGGCCTCTCTCTTGGTGACTCCTGGAGCAACTGTGCTAAGCAAAATCCACATATTCACATCCTTCAGTCCAGGTTTAGAACCTTACTGAAAATTTCTGATATTCACCCCCCAAATTTTGTGTGCACCCAGAACTATGACATTAAGCACATTCAGTAGCTGCAAGAGAAGAGTAAGTACTACCTACTCCTGTTTGGTGCCATTTCTTACCAAAGGTCTCTTCTAATGAGGTAGTTCTGATCAATTATTGGTCCAAGGGAGCCCATGACTTGGCTGACAGTGGTATTCATCTTAAATCACTTCTTGTCTGACATTCCCAGGCATTCTTTTTCTCTTGCTCTTCATGGGAAAATATAAACGACTCCTCTACTCATGACACTGCTGTAGTGGTGTTAGTTCTTCTAAAGTCATCTCCTATATACCTCTTAGTTACATTTTTCTTACTGAACAGCTTTCCAACTTCCACCTCTCTGCAACAGCACTATCGTGATTAAAGGGGAGGATATACTATGTGGTCATTATCATAACTTTATAATCTTTTGTTAATCTCAGCTCCACAAATTCCTCTGCATCTATTCCTTACATAACCTGCTACAATGAGTTAGGAGCTTATGCTGGTGAAGTTGTTTCTCCTGTCTACAGCTAATACAATCTTCCTAGAATGCCACGGGTCTTACATTTACTAAAGAAACAGAACTTGCCTAAGTTATGTTAATGTTTTTACATAAAAAGAAAGAACAATTGAACACAAGTTCTGGGCCAATAATTCTTCTCATACTTCTAACCACCACTGTGTAATAGATAGCATTAAAAAAAACCAAAAAGCAAAATTAAGAAGCAAAACAGATTGCTGAGGATGAGGAGGGATGTGAGGAAAACAACATTTACTTGGAGTTTAACATATTGAGATATTTTTATAAGCCTCCTGGCAGATGTTTGCTCTTATTATGAAAGTTTCTCTCATGTAAAGCAGTTTATTAAAAAGGATGGGACACTGTTCCTAGCTTTCCACTGATGCTCTTGGCAAAGCACAAGCCAAATTAGATATTGATCCATGGTGTGTAGCTCAAAAACCCTGCAGAGCTATGCAGGACGCAGAAACATTTTTCAGAATTTGCCTCACATGTTCTGACAGTCTTTGCTGCATGACCCATTTATCTTCTCCTGAGGGAGTAGGGATCATTAATATGGAAACCAGATATTAAGCCAAAATTCAAGCTACCGTCTCCAAGGGAAGTGGATTCACAAAGCTACAAAGCTGTGGCAGGGGATTTTTCTGCTATGCAGAGATCAAGGATGAACACAGAATTCTAACTCCAGCTTTTCTCAGTTCAGGTTCTCTGCAGTGCCTGCACGATATGTAAGAAACATCTACTCAGTCAGGTCCCACCTCCACACAAGGTCTGCAGAGCCAGAGCTCACAGTGAAGGCAAGTTATCCCACCTCTCTCAGTAGGTACCCTCCATGAAATTTAACCTGCAGTTTGCTTTCTAGGATAGTCTTGGTGCAGATGTTTGTTTGGTTGTAAGTTCCTGTCTTGCTTATCAAAACAAATTGCATTACCTTAATCCCTACAAAGAAACTGTAGAGACTGTCATCTTCCATTTCAAACTCTCCTTGCAGCTGGAGAACAAGCACGTCCTAGTTCCATGCTCCATATGGATGGCAGGGTTTCATCTGACTTGTTGTTCACACCCCAAGTGTACAAGCTATTTAGAAAATATTGCATTTGTTACATGTAAGTTTAATAAAGTTTTATAACACCAAAGACTGCTGTTTAGGAAAGTTCTTTATTTCACAGAGTTTCATCAGCATCATTCATTCAGAAGGTGGAGACCTATCCCACTAGTGGCAAAAGTGATCTTACCAACATCAGAACAGGAGGTCACTATTCAGACTCAGTCTCATAAGCTCTGCCTTCTAATAACTTAATACCAGGACTTGCTATAAGGAAATACAGGTGATTAAATCAGGCTTCTGTTATCAAGTAAGATGGTAAATGGCGAGAGTCAGTGCTGTAGAACGGGAGCCACACAGAACAGAAAGAGACATCTACAGAAGGAGCAAGAGGAAAGAAAATTGGATTCAAAGTACGACCCAGAGAAGTATCCAGAGCCATCCATTATACAATAGCATAGTTGCAGAGGTAACCCTGAAACTGCATCTGCATTCTGCAAGCAGTCCAGTGCTCTTAGCAAATACAGACATTTAAAGATTCAAAGAAACACGGTAACAACAGATGACAACAGAAAAGCTTCCAATACTCAGAGCTTGGGGGATACACTAGGAGTAAAAATGGGTACAATTATCTGAGCAAAGGGCACTCTACAAAGAGAGAGGTGTGGTTAAGAATCACCTGAAGGAAGAGAACTGGAACGTACAAAACCCACACAAAAACCCATACACAAATCACAAAGGCTAGGGGGAAAAGGAAAGTCTCCAGAATACACTTCCAAAATAAAATTGACTTAAAATGGTTAAAGCATTTTTGGTCCTGTTGTTTGAAAAAAAGAATTCTAAACTAGGTTCTGAAATACAAGGACAGACCATGTTTATACAGATCGTACTGTAAACTGAAAGAGAACTGCAAGATATTAAAAAATACTTTAAAATCAGTGAGCAGTTTAATTAACAGGAAGTACAAACAGTTGTTTTGGCACTGTACTCGACAGAAAGCTAGAGATACACATCTGGTTACCATGCTGATGCTCATACCTGACATCCTAGTTGAACTATCAACAGACAAAGTCTGCAGTCTCAAACACAAGTGCACCAGGAAAGAGGAGGTCTGCAGGGTCAGGAGTCCCCACTAGCCTTCCACCATTCTTTTAAGCACAGCTCCCAGGCCACCCTTGGCCACTTTGAGGGGGGTCAGTTCCTCTTTATTCTCAATGTGAATACTTGCACCGTGAGACACCAGCAGCTTTGCCTCCTCCACTCTCTCTTCATCGCAGGCTAAATGACTGCAATAAGAACAAGAAACCCACAGCCACTATTAAACAGTCCAAGCTTATAAAGAGCAACAATTCCACCTCGCCACAATGACAGCATGAATGCTGGGGGGGAGACACAGCCTAGAACAAAACCACACACAACCAACCACCTGCCTGGGCTCCAGAGCTTGCTGTCCACTCACTCTGATGTCATTAAGCAACTGAAGAACATTCCTCCTGCTACTGTCCTCACAACATTAAGACACTTCTTCAGACTAGGATTTGGCAAAGCTAAGGAGCACATAATCCACGGTGAAAACAGAAAATGGTGATCTCTGTTTGAATCAAAGTGATAAACTAAATCATATGATGATTAAAAATAACCTGAAGTGAGTTCCTGCACATGCAGCAAATGCTTTTTTCCATTTGCATAGTATCTTAAGAATCAGCGTGTGTGTTCCAGGACAATACTGGGGTTTACTTACAGCTAAAACACACTGCTTGGTCTTACTCACAGCAAAGCCTTTATTCCACTGTAGGCAAGGCAGAGTTTTGTCACCAGCTTCACAGCAGATAAGGTTTTACCCTCACAGATCCAAACTGATCTCTAAGGTAACATCAAAGGCTGGGCTGATCGTACTTCAATTGTATCTTATTTTCCTTAGAGAGGCAAAGAAAGGCTGCCAAAATAATTCTTGCTTGGCAGGAGAGTGCAGGCCAGCCTGCAAGACCCATTCCCTCTGCCTTTGGTGTCACTAGCTCACTTTCTACCCTCTAGTGGCAACCGAATGTATACCAAATTATTACAAAAGGTGTTCTACACGTTTTAAGTGGAAGTAGTAACACAAATTACAGTATGTACCTACAGACACAGTTAAGCAAAATACTCAGTATGTTTTTCTCAAATTCTTTTTAATTACATAGGTTTGTGAAGCAAGAGGGTATTCTGAAGCAATGAGAAATCCAAAAAAGAAATTGAAGCAATGGAGCTTCATTTCATAGAGATTATGCTACGTTTAGCGAAATAAAAATGAAAAATTACTTACAGAGGAGTATTCCCTTCAGAGTCCTGTATGTTCAGAGATGCATTGTGCTGCAGGAGGATCTGTACCATTTTTAGGTTTCCTTTGGCTGCTGCCCTGTGTAATGGGGTGGATTCAAAATGATCTGTTGCATCCGGGTCAGCTCCGTTCTCCAGGAGCATGACTGCAATCTGAACATGCAGGAAGAGAAAGGAGGGGGCGGTGGTGGTGAAGATAATATAACTGAACACTTCTTCCAAGAGCAACCCCACCTCCAGCAGCACAGGCAAACCTACCTCCTGCTTATTTTTGGAGGCTGCATAATGGAGGGGCGTGCAGCCGTTGTGGTTGGCAGCGTTGACTGGAGCACCCCTGGCAAGGAGGGATTTCACAATGTCATCGCGGCCCGCGGAGGCGGCGATGTGTAAGGGAGTCCAGCCAGCCTGCAGAGGCAAGGAAACCCCATGTCACCAGGAGTCTCAGGCAAAAAACACAAGGTATAACCCCACTACAGACTTGACTACTCATTAGCCACCCCTACATAGCTGTAAGGCTACACATTATTGATTCCCACCAGCGAGACAAGTCTCAGGTCCTCTCACACGCCTGCACTCAGCACTTGACAAAAGCCCCCAGCTAAATGCCAGAAATCCCTTCTGCTCTGCAAGGTGTCACCCAGGGCACTTTGGCCCTGCAGAACTAACAGTAGTGCTTTTTTTCAGAACAAATAAAGAGGGGCAGAAAAGGGTGTCTAAAAGTTTATGCAATCTTTTCTATATCCTACCCTCTATCTAAACTGATGGGACAACATCTCCTTCTTGGAGGATTATCTTTAGGATGCTTCATAATGGATGAAATTATTTCAACCCTTCCTCTAGAACAGTAACAGACCATCTTCTTTGCAACTGTGAAATCACTCAACTTGTCACCTACCCTACAATGCCTTCCCCAATAGGGAGTAATCTTCAAGGAACCTCATCATTTGGCACAATGTATTTAAGAGGGTCACGCCAAGATAAAAGTAATGTGAAAACACCTGAAAACAAGCCAACCATCCCTGGTTTTGCAACTTTGTTCATAAGAAGAGTTCTCCTAAAATTCCTTGGCAATAAGGAAGACTCCTCAAGTTTCATCACCCCCTATTCCACAAAAAGTGAAATACTTCAGCCAGGATTCCTAGTGCACACACAGTCCTATATGCTTCTTAAAGTCTCCCAAATACCACATGGGTTCCATCAGCTGATCAAACTGAACTGATGAAACTGAAGGAGGGAGAAAAGGAAGAGAGCAGTGCCAGTTGCCACCAGATGAATGACAGGGACACTTCTATGGCTGAAACCACAATGGCAAAGGGTCCAGACAGCAGCTGTGCACCCAAATTCCCCACAAAGAATTTCAGCAAACTTCCTCAGCCCCCCAGCATCAGCCCACACCCCGGGCCAGGCCCTCACAGGGGTGGAGAGTCACAATCCCAGCACGGAGGGGTTGGGAGGGACCAACCTCTCTGGGGATCATCTCGTCCAACCCCCCTGCTCCAGCAGGGTCACCCAGAGCAGGTTGCCCAGGACGGTGTCCAGGCAGGTTTGGAATCTCTCCAAAGGAGGAGACTCCACCACCTCTGTGGGCAGCCTGCTCCAGCTTTGGGTACCCTCACAGGGAAGAAGTTTCTCCTCACGTTCAGACGGAACAGTTTGCGCCTGTTGCCCCTGTCCTGTCTCCACCACCACTGACAAGGGTCCTGGGGGGGCCGCGACACTCACATCGTCCTTGTCGCCCACAGGCACGCCGAGGCCGAGGAGGAGATCAGCGACGTCCGTGTGTCCCGCCGAGCAGGCCCAGTGCAGCGCGGTCCGGTTGTCCTGAGGGAAGGAGGGAGGGAGGGGGCGGT